TCAGCTCCTGACTTCCACGATATCTCTTAAAGTAAATCTGTAAAAGTTATATATCCTATAATATAATTTAATAATAATAGACATCATATAACTTGAGGATCTCATAACCTTTTCGTCAGATCTCTTTTCCTCGTGGTGGAAATTAGAAAAAAAAATAGATAGGTCATTTCTCATAGTCTTTGAAGTTTAAATTATAGCATTAAAAAAATTTATCAGGTCACTAAAACTTACTGGTAATAATCAAAATAGTATCATGGCTACCACTCTTAAGTTGATGGTAAAGGAACCATGAGGTATCTGACCAGATAATTTCATGGCGAGATACATTAACCCAATCTATTTTAACTATATCTGTATATAATTGGGTGTGATTATGACAAAAACGTTTACAATTACTTTAAATTCATGTTTTTCATAGTGGGTAATAAATAAATACACTTTTTTGAAGCTGAAAAATGAATTTATTTTATAAAATTTTCAATATTTTTTAAAACTTATTTATTGAAAAATATTACAATCTGTCTCAAGGACATTTACAAAAAATAAAATAAATTATACAGAAAAATAATATATATACAATAAATACGAATAAAATAACCTAAAAACAAATAAATAAAAAGAACACATACATACCCATATATCATTATCATCATCATAATCCATCATCTTGAACCGCATTAAGCAGTGTGAGGAGGAAGTTTATAGAGCCTTCTCCAGCTCTGTCGGTCTTCAACAAGACACCTTCTATCGTTCCATTGAAGATCTCTTCTCTGGAAATCGCTCTTTACCTCATCTTCCCATTTCCTTCTAGGCCATCCTGTTCCTCTCTTGCCGTTTACTTTAGATCGATAGGTTTCGCTAGCTATTCTGTTTGGTTCCATCCGCAGAAGATGTCCTAGCCATGACCGGCTTAATATTGAGGAACTCTCCATTTGAGGTAGGTTCTTTTAAGTTTGAGAGAGTGAAAAGTTTTATATACCTTGGGTCTGAAATTAATAGCAAAAATGACATGGCTCAAGAAATACAAAGAAGGATCACGGCTGCCAATAGATGTGTCTATGGACTTGGCCGACACTTAAGAAGTAGGTACCTCTCAAAGAAGACCAAGCTGATCATATACAAGACTCTTGTTCGGCCTGTTTTGACATATGGCTCAGAGGCTTGGACGATGACCAAAAACGATGAGATGAAGCTGAGTGTGTTTGAGCGAGGAGTCCTCAGAAGGATTTATGGTCCAGTAAAGGAGGGTGATGTCTGGAGGAAAAGAAAAAATAGGGAGCTCAGTTCTCTCTATGCAGACATCGACGTAGTCACCTATATTAAACTGGCCAGACTAAGGTGGGCAGGGCATGTGGCCAGAATGAGCACCGTTGAGATACCCAAGAAAATAATGATGGAGGAGCTGCACCTCGCAAGACGGGTAGGAAGGCCGAGGACGAGGTGGTTGGACAACGTGGCCTATGATGCGAGAACCCTGCTTGGTGTACGGAACTGGAGAGCTGCAGCAGAAGACAGAGCCAACAATATTGAGGTTTGACCTGATGGTGGTGTTGCGTACACTGTCTCTTCTCGTTTTCCCCTCAATCTTTTGGAGGAATCGCATTTCTGACGCTTGTATCCTTGATTCTGCTCGAAGCAGCGATTCGCTCAGTCACCTCTGAATCGAGACACGCATATATCTATATATTAAAACAAAATTATATTTAAAAAACAAAAGTTTAGATAAAAACAATGAAATAATTAAATTTTGTTTAAAAAACACATTTAGAAGAAAAAATATTATTTCGATTACATTACTGTTTAGTCAGAATACTGTACTACATATGACGTGAATTTATAAGTGGAATGCTCATTGCAAATCGGCTATGTCCTCTTGATTTTTATGTAGGATAGTTTTTAATTAGAAAGCATATACTCCACAAAATCACCTACAAATCTTATACGACTGGTACAAACTTTGGAAAATAAAACTAAATCACAACGAATCCCACATAAAATATTCCCTCCAACGTGAAAACTGCCCTCCTGTCTATCTTGACAATGAAAATATCTCCAAATCTGACAAAGTACATTACCTAGGTCTTACATTTGACAGAAGGATGACATGGGACCCACACATCACCGCTAAGTGAAAGACATTAAATCAACAATTTAGACTATTATATTCCCTACTGGGATTTTGCTCAAAACTAGACCTAAGACAAAAACTCAACACTTACACTTATTTACTAAAACCAATTTGGACAAATTGTCGTCACAAATATATGGAATTGCTAAAAAAAAACATATTCAGAAATTAAAAATATTTCAGGCCAAAACCTTTAGAACAATTACTCAAGCACCTTGGTATATTAGTAACATAACTCTCCACAAAGACTTATGCATGCAAACCATCACAGAACACATACAAAAGGTTTCACAAACTTTATGGTCACTCCAATAGACTCATCCAAGACATGGCCAATAAAAGCATGCCTGATAACATTCGCAGAAGGCTGAAAAGGATTTGGATGAGAGATCTCCTTAATTAACCACTAACATAACCGAAGATTAGCCACTGGGTTTTTTCTCTCCCTCGTGCCTATCATGCCCTTTCTGCTAGTTTAATTGTATACAGTTATCTCATTCACTGGTTGTTAGTGGACATTGACAGTTGTGAATTAAAAAATTAATGAGAAAAAAAAGTTGAATCATGAAAAAAAAAAATCTTTAGAATTGGTTTAAATTGAAGCTATGTTACAAATTCATAATCTCAACATTAAATAATCTCCTATCGTCGTACCCAAAGTCACAAATCTTACTACTGGAAAAATATTAGTCTTGTTAAAGAAATCTGCCAAAGGTATCGCCAGCATGTGAGAGCTGTAGGCGATACTCTGCTCCCCAATGTCTTGGCAAAAAGATAGAAGACATCTAATTGATGGAGTTTCCCACCATGTCTCAGAGAAGGAGCCATGGAAGAGATCTAGATTAAGAATCCATCTTTCTTTTAAATATATACATATTAACATTCACCAATTACCATTTTGAGATATTAAGATAAATATTTCGAATGATGGATATCTTCATGAGATTATTGTGTTGACACTTCAATGACCAAGCCATTCGAGTGAAACTTTCTCTGTAGGCCAAATAGTTTTTTTGTCTCAAAATTTGTAATATACTTTTAAAAAATTATCATGCATTTAGTTTAAAGTGCTAAAACCCTTTTATTTTTGTAACTAGTCTTTTAATAATATTTAATAAAATGTGTTCATGTGTGGATTGCCTATTCTTATAACATAAACCTTTTTCTTGACAGGTAATTCCTATATTTCTTTTAAAAATAATTTATCACAATAATTAAAAAGCAAAAGGAGCGGGCATTGTCGATATCGATATTACAGTATATTAATTTAATTTTTGTTCGGAGATTAACCTCTGAAATGGTGTTTTTGGTTAAAAAAATGAAGAAAACATTTCTATATAATCTGGACTTCACCACTGTTTTATTGGCCTCCATTTTGAAGTCAAAATTTCCTGTGTAGTTAAGTCCAGGCAGCAGTAAAGTGTACACACCCTTTTATTTTTTTGACCAGAACTTATCATAGAAACATGATTTTCTAAATCCAAGAGAAACAGCCTGGTGGAGGAAGTATGGGGAAGAAGAGAAGGCCAAACAAAAAAAAAAAAAAAAAAAAATCAAGCTTATTTGTTTGTACAAGTGAATCCACATTTACCAAAATACAATATTTCGTCTGAACAAAATGACCCTTCTAACTTTCAACCCTGGGCTAAACAACAAAATTGTAATTTTTTTTTCTACCATCATTTTCTTAATTTTCTAAAATTATATCAAGTGCACAAGTTTTGTTTGTATCCATTATATTCAATATAATCATTTGTTGTTCCAGAAATAATTAATTTCAGTGATCAAAACCTCATACAGTCAACCAATTGTTATATGAACCAACCCAATATTACACACTTAAGAGGTCATTGGGTAATATTTGGCTAACACCAAATTACCGTGATCATACAATTTTTATTACCTATTGTTACTCTGGGTAGTTATTTCTTACATTCATAAAATCATATTTAGATTATTTTTGGAAATTTAAACAAAAAATATGTTTACATAGATGCGGTATACAACCACTGCTAATTTATGGTACTTTCCTATTTAAAACAGATAGGAATAGGTAATGTAAAAAAGACGATACACAATATGAAATTAAATTCCAGGCATTTTTATGATGATAATAAAAAGTTAAGTCCAACCCAAAACGATAAATATTTTCATAAGAACCATAGCTGTCATTCTTCACAGGTAATTTGATGTTTTAAATGCGAATCGATTCCTGGAGCAAGTACGTCTGTGAAACTCAATGGTGGGCGTATAAATCAATGAGCAAGCGTATGTGCCCGCTGTGGTCGTTAAAGTGTTAAAATCCTTTTATTTTTGTAATTAGTCTTTCAATAATATTTTATAAAATTTATTCACGTGTGGATTGCCTATATTAATAACATAAACTTTTCTCTTGATTGGTAATTCATATCTTTGTTGTGTTTGGTCCTGATTGTATAAATTAATACATTTTCCAATTAGTAATAAATATTTATAAAATTTATTTATTTTTATTACAGTTATTTCATACTTTAACACAAAGACATCAGACATAATTATCTAATTTCTAAATTTAACAAACATTGTAATATATATCTTTTGTATATAAATTATATGCTAGAGTAACAATATAAAATAACAGTTATAAAATTTAAAAACAAATAAATATACTAAAAATTCATGAAATATTTAAGATAATGGGAACGCTGGGGGACTAGAAAAATATTCCATCCAAAGCGTCTATCTTGCTTCACAAGGCCGCCTTCCAAACAGCTCGATCTGCTCAGCCTTCGTCCCATAGTTAAAGGTTTAAAATAATTTATAAATGACCACTAACTTTTAAGTAATATATAGTCTACTTTCAGTAACTTTTTTTTCCGAAGCTATTACTAAACTAAATCATAAAATTTTCAAGTTTAAATTGCTTATTAGGTTTGTGGGCAATAGCAACGATTGAATGATATTCAAGTATAAGCTCTTCAGTCACTGCATCAAATTTAACGACTCCTTCTCGTTTACAGATATCTATCAAGTCTTGTCTGTATTCTGACTTTAATTCGTCTGGGATATATTGCAGGTATGGGTTTATAGGCTTCAGAAAATCTGAAATAAAAAATGTTAATTATACTTATAGTTTATAATAAACTAAAGCAGTTCAAGATATTAATGATAAATAAATAATAAAAAAGATTATGGAAATTCTTGCTTGACATATAAGTATTTTTGGGCTTATTTTACTTAGAAGTGGAGGTCAAGAAAGTGGGTCGAACAATATTAGACTAGACAATAGATTTTCAGATTATAGTATATCAAGCTTTATTTTGTGTGTTTAAAATAAGAAAATATATCGGAGATTGTATTAAATGAATTCAGATGTATAATAAATTACAAAAACCAAACGACACTTCAAGGTGTTTTTTTTTTCTTTTTCTTGCTGTTTACTGAAGCATTACTCATCAGGATTTTTTTCAAATTCAACATTACTAAAACTGTTGGAAAGCTGAATTGTTGCTTTTTCACTTCAATAATGTTTAGATTTTTTATCTTTATACCAGTTCTAATTTGTTTAAAAAGGTCTGGTTAGTGCCAGTTTGCGTAGTTCATGTAGTCCCAAATCTCTACTAATTATCGAATGGCTAGATGGAGTCACGTTGAAGTTATCAAACTTTGTATGATTAAAAACAAAATCGATGGATGGAGCCAAATTAAACATTTTGAGCAAAATATTTTTCAATTGAAATGAAAATTTGTATTGAAGAGTTTTTCTAGGTGTAAAAAAACATTCTTACTAAAAAAGATTAAACTACATTCAACATTGACAATAATATATGTTGATGACAGTATACTGGATGTAAACATGCGGAACCCATCAAATATTTATTTATGGATAAACATGGTTGATATTTGTATTTCACACCTCAAAAAACTTTGAACCCTTTAACAACTGTAGACTTTTATATAAGCTAAGAGAGAATCTGGCGTAGGAGATGGTGGACTCAGATATGAGTTGAGACGGAATCGGGCATGCGCGACGGTGGACTCATATATGAGTTGAGATGGAACTCATGACCTACCGACCTCTGGTCATATCATTTTCACAATAAGATTGAATAAACAATTTTAAACCATTATTTTTTAGAAAAGAATAAATTTACAGTATAATGTTTTATACGTACATTACTTCCATTCTTAGTAATATAACATATTTCAGTTATGTTTTTAGTTTTTGACTCATTCAATTGTATACAAAATAAAGGTTCACATTTTATTTTTAAAAAATGTAGAGAAGGTCATGTAAAAATACATTTAAATTTTATAAAAGTTAGACAAAAAACTAATGCTGCTCCTCCCTTTCCACTCATTGTCGCTAAAAGATTAAATAAGAATCATTAGATTGAAAAAAAAGTTTTTTTGTTGAATGTTTTGTCTACGAATATCTTTTGCTTAAGCACCTAATTTTTTTTTTTTAAATCACAAAAATTGAGATAACTTCAACATGACTCCACCTATCTATAGAAAAATTAGTCGGGATTTGGGACTTTATGAGCGACACGGATTAGTACAACCCTGACTTTTTAAAAAAAATTAGAACTGGAGATATAAAACAAAAACATGATATAATATAAATATAATACAAAATAGATATAATATAATATACAGTCAATAAAAAGTAAATAAATACTCAATTAATATTACAGCAATATCTGGGCCATTACGTCAATGATACGTACTCATGCAACTTCAATGCAATTCATTACAACTATGAACTGAGGCATCTAGGACAGACAGGTCAGCCATAAAAAAAAAGTTTAAATTACAATCAATGCTGATCAATAATCCTATATAATCGTATAATGTAACAGTAAATTGCTTAATTTACGTTTGATAAATTGCTTTGTACGATTCATCTTTGGGATCCCAAGGGACGCCTCTGTTTCTCGTTTTTATGCAAAGTTGAAGTGGCTTTAAGTATTTCCTGTCATCCTTCCTCTTTCAACTCATCCAATCCCACCGCCCTTCATACATCTCCGAGCTCCTTCAATCCAAATCCTCTGTACGTTCCCGCAATACTCGTTCCCGGTCTTCTGATTTATACATAAGGGCCCACCGAACCGCTGCTTTGGACAGATAGTTCATTATCTGATCCTCATCCCTATAGAACTCCATTCCTCCCTACATCCGTCAATCCAAAACCCTTCCTACCTTTAAATCCCGCCTATTCAATCATTTCTTATCCATCCAGTCCCCATAAAATTGTAAATAGTTACTACTGTAAATATGTATATAAATTATTAGATTGTCTTTATTTCATGTTTATTTTCAACTTTTTTGCTTTTTATTATTAACTGATCTAAATTAGTAAGTAACTAATAATTTTTTCTTTTATTTTTTTTATTTTGACTATTTAATTACTCTATATTTTTGTTTATGTATCTCTAAGGCTCCTTAGCCCACATTATTGTCTTTCTATCACATTCTAAAGGGACTCGTCCCAGAATAAATAAAGAATTATTATTATTATTATTAAATAAAAAAAGAAAAATATATACGTGAATGTATAACAGATTCATTTTTATGAACTTTTCTTTATTTATTCAATATAAAAAAAGTTATTGATATGTAAAAGTAATAATTCAACTTTCCAACAGTTGTAGTAATGTTGAATTGAACAAGGCCCATATGCTGGACTCATTCCGCGAACTACTATCAGTAACATCCTACTAAGAGTATGACTACATTAACACTATTATCAAACAGCATTACATATTATACAAAATTGGAAAACATAATATGACTATTTGTTGGTAACTACTTTTGCATTACCAGATAGGGCTTCTAAAGAAGGATAACGACGGCTTCTTTTTTGTAAGTAACAGTTGATATTATGAAAGCCAACATCTTCTAGAATTTGATGAAAAAATGAAGGAGGATCATCAGCCTTGTAAAACCACTGTCTCTTCTAAAATTGAATAAGGGAAACAATTAAATTCAACATTATTAAATATATTAATTTAAATTAGTTTCTTCTTTAGAAGTTCTTAGTCGCACTGAACATTATTACAAGTCAGGAATTAAATTTCATTATTCTGAATAGTGTAATACCATTGAATAATTAAACTGATTACGTTGGGTCCATACTCAACACATAGAAAGATTATGGAGCTCAGCTAAGTGGAGGAATAAAAATAAAAAACACTGAGGAACTGTGAGGCAATACCTGGATTCATATTTATGTGAATTTTTGTGGCGGCGGGCTCACAGAGAAGAGGACCCGTTCCTCGCTATTTTAAATAGCATTAAGCTATCTTGTCTCCAAAAATAAATAAAATGTTATAAAATAAAAGTGTTTTTTTTATTAATAAATTTCTTTTTGTCTAATTCAATTTTCATAAATATAAATAAGAACATAGGTATTATCAGTGTTCAGATTATAAACAATAGTGGATAGCAGTCCATGATGACCAGCTAATTCACAAATACCTAATTTTCCTCTGATGAATTGTTAGTAATATAAATTTTAAACCATTAAATATAAGAGGAAAACTATTAGCAAAAAAAAAAAAAAAAGGAGAACTTAATTTGAGTTTTGGACATGCATGGAGATCTGACCCTCAGAACATTGAATATTTCTTTGAGGCATAATAGGAAGAGAATCTTTAGGTAGGAACGAATCCACTTTTCGAGATGTCATAAAAATTATAAAACATTGATGAACTTATAATTAACTACAACCTGCTAACTGGTTATCTAGTTACTATAGCTGTAATATTTATTTATTGTAACTTTGTTAATGCTATGCTCAATTTATTGAGGTGCTTATGTTATTGATTACCTTAATATATTTGCTCCATTTATCTGAAGCGTTCAACTTATAAAACATTACCAATACTGGATTATTCGGAGTAACAAACATCAGCAAAATTTCACCACCAGGTTTCAACAAGGAGAACATGTTCTCCATGGCTTGTCTGTAAACAGGAAAAAGATTTATCTTATTCCTTTCTGAAAACTTCAAAAATAAATACTACATACTACACTGTGTATTCCATTATTAAACTAATACTAACATAACAGCTAAAAAAAGTTAAAAAAAATCTGCGGATGAAGACTGCTACTATCATTTCAAGGTTAAATTGTTATAATAAATAATTATTCCAAAGTATCTTTGACATTATGTCTTTTTATTTTTCCAATAAGATAATAAAAAAACATATTTATTTAATGGGACCTCATAATAGATTTATTTCTTTTTGGAGATACCATACATTTCTGTTTGTTTAAAATGTCCTTTTTTTAAGTTTACAATATTAAATGTCAGATTCTTAGAGAAAGCAACATTTAAACATAAAAACAGCTGAAAATGACTATGAAATAAAATGCAGTTAAACTATATATTTAATTGAAGAGGTTAACTACATACTATAATATCATTAAATTATGCAGTAGTATTATCTTCCCAATAATTAAACTCATAAATTTACTATATAATAAGTATTTGGTCTAAATACCTGTGGTCTTTTATCCAATGTAAACAATTAAATGAAAATATTTTGTTAAAAGATTCCAACTCCAAGATTTCAGCAATGTCTTTATCCTCGATGTTCTGCGTTTTGAAACTAATTCTGTCATTATTTATAAACTTATTGCAATATGTAATCATTTCTTCTGAGATGTCGCAACCCACCTAAAGATGAAAGTTTTTAGGATTACAGATCATCATAAAATTAGTCAGACAAAAAAAAAAAAAAAATGATTCTCCCTGCAACACTTAAGGAGACAGCACTGATGAAGGCCTGAACTTCAGGTCGAAACGTTGGCATATGTAAAAATAAATATTATCATTTATTTTTTGCCTTCCTTTTTGACTGACCACCCCAACTATTCTTCTCTTCAAAAAAAAAATTAAAAAAAAAAAATGAATTTTTATTACACAAGTAGAAATTTCAGGACAGACACATGGGCAATCCAAGGCTCAAATAGATCAGAGATGTATAACAAAATATCACTAAAGTAAAACAATATAATGAAGCACAAAAATTAAAAGTTTTTTTCTGTTGCCTTTACAGAGCTTTTAGATAGATTTTAGGCCACCTCTTCAGCAGCTTTGGTGTTCCTATGTGTCCATCTGGTTTTCGATTACTTTCAGCTAAAAGTTCTCCCCATTTTAACTTTCTTTCCTTCATAAGAAGGCAAAAGATATTTAATGAATTTCTGTCTGCAGTTCTTTATTGGTCCTACTCCTTCATGATTAAGTACTCTGATTCCAGATGGCTTTGGTTATCTTGTGAAGTATTTTTCTTTCAAATTTTTTAATACTTTTCCTATAGTACTGGTATGTTTCCAAGCCTGTAGCCATAAATTAGAATTGGGTTTATCATAGGCACTATACATTCTTAATTTAGAATGGACACAAGATTTTTCTAGAAAAATCTTAAGTAAAAATAACAGAAAAAAATAATAACAAAAATTAGTAGTACTAAAAATATATATATATATATATATATATATATATATATATATATATATATATATATATATATATAGAGAGAGAGAGAGAGAGAGAGAGAGAGAGAGAGAGGAAGTAAGAATTGAAAGTAACTATAAAAATTATGAAACTAAATAATTGCAACTGTAACATAAGAAGTAAATATATAATAAGGAATAAAACTGAATAATATAAACCAAAATGAGGATACTTGAATAATAGGGTAAAAATAATATATGGAATAGTTAGTGGAGGGTATTGAACAATCACATACACTATGTTGATGTAATATTTATTGTCTATGTTTCAACCTAAGTTGTAGGTCTTTTTAGAGAAAAAAAGAAAAAGATATAAAAAATTACTATTAATTAGTAAAATATAGAAAGATAAGAATTGATGTTAAGCTGGTTACAAGTTGGAATATATATCAGATACATTTTGGAAGGTGAGAAAGAAATTAAAATAGAAATAAAAGAAAAGAAATAAATTGTATATAAAAGAAATAGATCTGTACCTTTTATCAATCAATGTGATACCCTATATCATGAGTCTTGTATCAATTTAACATCAACTCTTATTTTAATTTTTTGTAACTTGTACCAATTAATTGTAATTTTTTATATCTTGTTCTTATAATCCCCCATGAAGACCTTTTCAATAGTTCCAAACGTAGGCAAAAACTATTAAACATGTTATATTAAAACTAAAATATTAAAATTAAAATACTAAAACTAAATATTAAACATAATGTGTAATTGTTGAGGAACTGCCCAACCTACTATTCCTCAAATTAGAACTAAGGCCAATCATTTCCATAACATCATAAAAATTATAATAATGTTAAAGGAAAAGATTAAACTGATGAAATAAGAATATGAAGAAACACAAGTTTTTGAAATTTCAAAATGCTGAGGTGGGAAACCTCACTGTTGTGAAGGAAGACAAAGAGATATTTAGTTCATTCTAGAGTGAGTCATTCTCGGAATAAATTTTTGAAGTAAACTATATTTGAAGATAAAAATATCTGGTAGCGCATCACACAACTTTCACTTACTGTTCTTCTTTCAATATAAATTATTATCTGGCAAAATATTACAAAAAGCTTTTGAGGTGCATTTTTAATAGAACTAAACCATAAAAATCACATTTGTAGATTTTTAGGTCTCAGGGGTGCCCATTCCCCTCAAGGTCAATGGTGCAAGAACCTGTCTTCCCCCCTGCTTCCACTTCAAAGATATTTTATTGCTCGTATTTTCTTAAAAACAGAGCAAGCGAAGGTAGAATAGAAAAACCGTAAATCATGCACAATTACACTTGCTGCGGTCTGTTCCATGTTTTCTCCTGGTCTCTTAGTATGAATCTTTCCATTCCAAAAAAATGATAACCCTGTAAAAATGTCCTCCCCTCAAAAATTCCAAAATATGCCTCCCCCTCAAAAATTCCAAAATCCGTCAAAATATGACCCCTCAAAAATTTTGATGGCGCAACTTGCGCCATTAAACCCCCTTCTGGGCACCCCTGTTCGGTCATATTTATCAATGCAAAAATTCATTATGACCGTAAAAATAACAGATATAATAAAAAATATTTTCGTTACTCTCCATTATGTTCTCTGAATTTTCATGTTAGGTATTGTTTCTTTTAAAATTCTCAGCTTTCCAACGATATATTATACGTGTGCCTTCTGAATATTATATTTCCGGAAATGCATTTTCAACCTAATAAAACATTCTTTCATTTTTCTGGTTTACTCAATTATCAAATTCTTTCACATTATATATTGAGCCTTTTTTGATTACTGTTAACAATGAAAGACAGTTAATTACTTGAAATAAACCAAATTACATTAGAGGAAACAATTTCGAACATTGGGCGTTTAAGTTCTGTTAAGCGATACCAAGGATAAGACTAACCTAATATTAAAGAACATTTATATACAGAGTTTGATCAAAATAGTTCGAGCCGTTTCGAGAAAATTGTAAAAATGTGTAAAATCGATTATATAAAGTGGCACTTCCGGTTAGCCGATTTTAAGGGAAAAGTTACTGTAACATTTCAGGCATATACCTACCTTAAATATGTCATTTCAGTTTCGTGTGACTTTTCGTTTTTGAGTTCGACTGTTCAAGCACACGCACGAACTAATACATACACAGAGACACTTTTTTGTTATTTGCAGTCAAGGGACCTTAAAATATGTATTTCCATTGAAAACTAAGATTCAAAATTTGTCACGACCACAATACTTTTTTTAAATATAAATTACTGCGAATTATTATTGTGATAAATGATAATCCAGGCAACTTTAAAATAATTTGATAATATATAAAATAATAGAACATATTTATGCTAACCAGTGTTGCATCTTCCGGGAGGATTGGAAAGAGGACGTTGACTGTTACATCCCCTGGACCGCAGCCGATGTCCAGTACCCGTTCTCCAGACGTCCACTTCAAGAAGTCTCTCCGCTCTTCCACTATATCCATTGCGTCTCTCTTTTGCAACGAATTCGCGGTGATGTAAAACAAAGGATCGTCCATTTCTAATCTGAAAAGAAAAATTTAATGAAATATGATCAGAATTTTCAGCTTTACCGAATCAGTGAAACACTTACATGGTTTTATTTTCATTTTTCCAGCATTAGGGAATTTATTAGACAGAGAAACATCGTAATATTTTTTTTAATGCTACGAAAATGCGCGTATTTGGGATTTGCCAAAAACAGGACAAGATGCAATTTTATTTCTTCAGAAGCGAACATTTTACCTAAAAAAAGTATATGTAACAAATCCCATGACATGAAACTATATTTTGGTAAACGTAACTTTTGGAAATGTAATTTAAGACAGTGTGATCAGCAAGTGGTTTGAGTTGGGCAGAACTCCATTTTGTTCAGCTTTAAGATTCATTTCTGCTGCTGGTGCAAAGAGCTGACATCGGTTAAATTTTGTGAAAAGCAGTTTGTGAAACGAAATCAATCGGATAAAACTGTTATAGACTGGAATGATTACAAACGTGAATTATGTATCTTGGATATGGAAAATAAATTAAACAAGAAGATGGATGGACCAAATTACATTGTGAAAATTGATGAAAGTTTGTTTACTAAACGTAAAAATAATTGTGATCGAGTATGACCCGAACAGTGGGTGTTTGTTTGGTGGTATATGTAGAGAAACAAAAGATTCGTTTGTTGTCACTCTTCCTAATAGAACTGGCTCTACCCTTCTTGCTAACATTATTGAAAACATTGTAAATGGTAGTACAATAGTTGGAAAGGTTACCAAAAAAGTAGAATAATAAAAGAAGGATTCCTACATGCTAAGGTTAATCATAAATACAATTTTATTGAACCTGATACAGGAGTTCATACACAAACAATTGAGAGAATATGGGATAGTGCTAAATGGAGGAAAAAGAGACATAAGGGGACGGCGAGATATCCTTTGAAATCGTATTTATCAGAGTTCATTTGGCGACAGCATCAAGTGAAAGAAAATAGAGGCTGTTTTGAATCTATATTAAATTCCATATCGGCCCATTTTCCATCGAAATCTGATTGACTACTTTATATAGATAAAATTTATTGAATTTTAAAGTGTTTTGATTTTAAATAAATTTTTTTATTCTATAATTTGTTGCAAAAACTTTAGGTATAGGTTGGCGCATTAGCAGAATTTTGGCTGTGGTGGCGTTAATACATAAGTACCTTTTTTACTTTCCTACCTCTACTAGGTAAGGAAAGTATTGCGATCAGATCAAATTTCCGATATGAGATTTTCGACGGATCTATACGTTTCAGAGCCCTCTGAGTCCGAAAAATACATTTTAAACCATTGGTCTGTCTCACGGGCGGATCTACAGGGGGGGGGGGAGCTTTCGGGCTGAAGCCCCCCCCAAAATGGAAAAATATAACCATGTTTTATGGGGAAACAAATTTAAAAAACACCTCTTAAAGTATTATTGTTCGTGTAATTACATTTAAAAGTACTTAAGGAATAACTTAAACACCATCTCATATAGGTAGTTAGTTTCTTTCTGTTTTTCCAAAGGAATTATCGTTATTTTTATGAAAAAAAAGGTTTCGGGCTGAAGCCCCCCTCCCCAAAATTAAATCCTGGATCCGCTAGTGGTCTGTCTGTTTGCCTGTCTGTCTGTGCCAAGATTTTCTCGGGAACTACTGAACCGATTTTGTTGCTTCTTTTTTTATTTTGTAGGGTGTTGACTACTGATGCCTGTGACAGAAATTCGGTGCACCATGCGCAATAGCTTGCGCGCAATAAATGAAAACGAAGTTACAGCTATTCAATTTCCAATGTAAGATTACGGGTTCATATCCTGGTGTCAGAAAGGGGTGAATGAGAGAAAAAAGATGACTAAGTGAAAGTAAGAAAATCTGTTGCCCTCATCACACAAAGTTCACTATTTCATCTACTTTTAACAGGAATTATTGTTTGACAATACTAAGCTATGGCAAAAAGTTTTTCATCAGCAATATTAGAGAGTATTGAAATTTTCATACTGATCTACCTTAAGCCGGTTTACATTGCATTAGTTTATCAAATGAATCGTACTCAAATCTTTTCTTTGATCAATTTTCAGGGAAATAAATCTAGTTTAATTTTTGTTTGTTTCTTCATGAACATATGTAAAGATATAAAAACTTTTCTGAAATAGGCAGGAAAGTCGTGTGAGTGGACACACCAGATTTTTGTATATTGATTATTGTGATGATAAACTTATTGCATTGTAAATAGTCTGTTATCAAATATTGACCTATATAAATATTGAAATATATTATCATAACAGTTCTATAATATTTTAGAGTAACGTTTTTTCTTAATAATGGCTTAGTTGAGAATGTTTAGTTAATTTAATTTATTATTTATAAAAGGTATATTAGATTATGCTAGAATCATATAAATGTACTCACTTCAATATACTCTTGATGAAATTGTTGCAAAGAGGAACGTTCCACTGTGATGAACTGCCTGTTTATATATCCAACCCGGACGAGTGGGAGAACCATCTAACCACCTTATAGCCGTTCAAAAATATATTTTCTAAGGAACGGAAGTGAGATAATCTCCAGAAATCCTTGATAAATATTCATTTAATGCCCTATAAATAACATTGGACACGTGGCAGTCCACTATAGTGTTATAATCGTCATCTTTACTTATTTAAAAATAAATAAATGTGGAAAGATGAAAAATATTAAGTTTAAAGCACTAGTATCTGGTATTGTACCAATGTATGAGACATCCTCCTAAAAAAATGGAGAAAATGAGATTTCAGGACATCTTTGACCTCTATTTTATACATTTTCTCCTGGTATGTTTATCTGCTTTTGTTTAGGTTTGTCGGAAAATGTAACCGTAAGAAGAAGAAAAAAATTGAATATTTAATAGTTGACCGTTGCATTACAAAGGAAGGAGATGGTCCGGGGTTGCGGTCATAAATAGGCTAAATAGTGGTGAAACTATTTTATTGAAAGCCGACGTTTCGACCCGACTTTGCAGGTCTTCTTCAGGGCTAGAACGGACAAGATACAAAAAGATAGTAAATTGTGACAGTTACATAATATTTAGATATAATGTATAAGCAATGTGAATAAGCTTATTAAAATTATAAACAGTAAGTACAATAAAGTATGAACAAAGTAAGCTGAGTAACAAGATCCTAGACTGAAGTAAATAGATGTTAACAATTGTTGTAGTGTAATATATAATAAATGAAAATGTGAATATACTTCTACATATCTACAGGAGAGATTGAAAGAAAAGGAAAAAGGATATAATATGAAATAATAGACATAAAGGAATGTAGAGAAAGAAAAGAAAAAAAAGGAAACCAAAATTAGATAAATAAGTAAATAAAAATGGAAGAATAAAATTAGAGACTTACAGGTGTGTTCAGCTAGGAGTTTCACTTAGAACTGGAAATTTTCATTTATTATATATTTATAATTTTTAATTTTCATTTATTATATATTACACTACAACAATTGTTACCATCTATTTACTTCAGTTTAGGATCTTGTTACTCAGCTTACTTTGTTCAAATTTTATTGTACTTACTGTTTATAATTTTAATAAGCTTACTCACATTGTTTATAAATTATGTCTAAATATTATGTAACTGCCACAATTCTCTATTTTTTTGTATCTTGTCCGTTCTAGCCCTGAAGAAGACCTGCAAAGTCAGATCGAAACGTCGGCTTTCAATAAAATAGTTTCACCACTATTTAGCCTGTTTATGACCGCAACCCCGGACCATCTCCTTCCTTAAAAAATAAATTTTATTGTGGGAATAAGTCCCCTTAGAATAACTACAATGTACAATTTAATGACAATTGTCTGTTATTAGAAATAATTAGGAATAAATTAAATTATAAGGTTATCTAGATCTAAAATTAAAATAAAGAAAAGGCACTAGTAGATATATGAACATTAATAATGTGGATGATGTATAATTATCTCTAGGAAAACATTAAATGCGACTGACAGCTCTAAAAAACGTGAACATTATTATAAACATATTCGGAAGATTAATTGCTGAGGAGATGGATAGATAAATTATGTTTAAATGAGGTCAAGGATGAGGATTTCCATATGGAGAGGTTGGTAGGCGATTCCAAAACAAGGTAGCACGTAGTGTTGCCCAAATCCGAGATCGAGAGGAGTCTTAGTCTTGCAAACTCAGTCTTGGCAATGCTTTTGGTCTTGCGCAAGAGTTTCGAAAGTCTTGCAGTTACTTATTAGCTTATTCCTGTAGAGATATTACTGTGTTTTTTTTAGATAGGAGAAACCTAACTAAGCCCGAATAAAGCATTAGAGGAGTTAAATGCAAAATTATATATTGCAAAAGTATAGGTTATACCAATTATTAACATATAGTGACTAAGATTGTCAAGTATTAGTAATTATTTTGCCTTAATTTTTATTTTGAAAATTCGATTTTCTTTTACCAGTCCTAGTCTTGGTCTTGCAAAATGAAAGACCAAGACCGATTTTGGGTAACACTAGTAGCACGTATGCCACAGGATTTTTTAAAGGATACAGTTCTATGAGAAGGGATAAATAGGTTTGAGGGCTGGGATCTCGTGTAGAATGAATGGACAGAGGAACAAGGAGTAAACATATCCAGAAGGTAAGAGATTTTTTTGGTTGAAAAGGTTCGAAAAAGGAATACACCTAGGAAGTATTGCCGTAGGAAGACTGGATAGAGCAACTTCAACCCGGCATACCAACTGGAGACGTGGGAGAGCCTGGAGACTCCAAAGATAAACCTAATGAAACAATTCATCAGTCTCTTTAATAATGGATGTCACATTAGGTCCATTTATTGCCCATGGGACAACATGTAAGGATAACATATCTTAGGTTTGGATCTTTTTCTTTAATTACTTTGATTTATATCAAAATTTTTGTTTTACTTTTTATATATATGTATATCGTTTGTTTATTGGGAAAACATCGTTAACAGACAATTCATAACCTTTAATATTAAATCTTAAACCTTTGATAAATGAATTTTC